ATATATATATATATACAGTATATAGTTTATAAATCATATAAAATCTCTCTGTTATTTCAAACACTGGTTTAGATTAACAGACACAAGAATGCTTCTGTACAAATAAAAGTTATCACTGCTGTGTTGAACTATGTATTCTTATACATGTAGCTTTGATAGATGTAGGTTTGGGGTTTCCAGCACAAAAAATTGTGTAAAACAGTTTAGTTTTCAGCGAGTTATGATTTATTAAACAGGCTGATACGTCATTGAGAAAATGACTTTTCCAAGATGGCGGCTCGACAGTAGCATTAGCGGTCTGTCTAGCTACTCTTTATGTTTATGGTTACTACCAGCAGTGATGATTGATACTTACTTTCATATATCCAGTTTTCACTGAGCCTTCATGCTGCACTGAGCTGGCTCTGTGTGTAAACCTGCTAGCATGTTGCTATTAATGTTGCAGGAAAAATGTGGACTAGATTCCATGTGGTGGGGGAGTACTCTATATGAACAAGGGAATGGATTGGATAACGACGCACCAAAGAGGATCTCTACCTTACACTATAAATTAAAGGGAATCAGACAGATTTATGATCATTTATTTTAGTTAATAATGAAATAGTAAATGGTTATTTATTCTGACCACATCATATTGAATTTGGGTGGGGGGGCTTAAAAATTTTTTTAGGGGGCTCCAGCCCCCCTAAAAAAAGGCCTAGTGACGCCACTGGCTACGGCAGCCTAAAACGTCCAGATGAGGTCCACATTAAACTACCAATAACTTAATACTCACTACTAAATATTTATGAACAAATTGTTGTTATGTATCTTGAAATAAGATCTAAATCCATACAATATAAACTGTACAGATTTTACCCCCTGCCCTCCAGTGGAGATCGCTTTGCCTTCGAAACCACGTGACTCAAACCAGCTGTTTGAAAGCAACAGTTGTGCCCAAGGTTAAATTGTCTGCACTTACGAGTGTGTCATTATACAAAATGCAAAAATCACAGCACCAGTGGGTTTAACGAGCACATTACTTGTTTAAACATTTGACTTTTCCACAATAAAAATCATAAAAAGGCTAACACGTCCAAAGATCACTTCACAAATAAACAGGATCTCAGTAACATCACTGACGTATGATGTTGAAGTTTGGATTGTGTGTGTGTTTTTGAAGGTAACTGTAAATAACTGGGTAACACATTTTATTTCAAACTCTCATAGTGTGCATGAAGTGTAATCAATATGATTACAACTAATGTAGATTAAACTGCTGTATGGGAATATGCAAGCATTCAAGGGGTACCTAGTTTACCTGCAGTATTGTCATTGACACCTGCACCACCGAGTTCCATCAGTACCTTTGATTCCCACCTGTGTCACCCATTAAAAGCTTTAGCAGTCCGGTCAGAGGCTATTTCCATCCTGAAAATCTTATTAAGCAACCAGACAGTTTGCAGGGCTGAGCGGCTGTTCTAAGTGTCACTATCTTCCCTCCATGTTGGGCTTTGTAACCATCATTTCTCTTCCAGAAAACGCTGGTTAGGAGCTGAAAACAACAAAAACAGCAACGGGACAATGTTAACGCTGTTGACGTCCATGTATCTGGTGGTACGGGCAGCTTCCACACAGGTGAGTTAAAAGCAACACAAGTCATTAGGTAGAAGTTTGGACTCATCTGTTCAGATATGTGTGTTTGTCAGGTGTTTTCCTTCATGGTTTGATTTTACTGCAGTGGGGAACAGATTATCAGCTTTGTACAAATAGCCTAGCCTTGTGTTTTTGTCACTCAGGTTTGGGTGCAACTTCACAACTTAAGGTAAGAAAACAACTGCTGTGAAACAAGCACCTTAGGAAAGGAGCTCTAAGGGTGGTATTTTACTCTGGCGTGGTCATTATTTCAGCGAAAGTCTGTAGTTTTCTTTAGGAGGTCAATGCAAGGATGACCACAGGCAATATTAACATGGTTATTTTAATGTGGGGTTTTTTGGAAAGGTTATGAGCTAATATTAGTTACATTTTGAATATCCCATTTAGCCTAACATGTTTTTTTATTCTATATGACCTGTGTGAGAAAATTAAATACATACACATGAACATAGTTCAGCCATATTTCAGAATACTGGTGTTGATTGTTCATTCTGTGCGGCCTTCAGCTTGTCCTTCAGATTACAGACAGGAGTGAGGGGGGTAGGTGGGGGCCAAGCCACAAGTCAACGTAAACACCAGGAAAATTTAGATCCACAGCCCTTCAAGACCACGTAGTGGGGAGAGCCGAACCAGTAATCACAGTTGTTTGGGAACAGAAGAAAATGTTTTTGGTCAGGAAGACAATAATATGGTCACTGGTACATCCCAATGTGGTGAATCCAATCAGACAAATAGTGTGGGCAATCCCGCCGAGCCGAGCTATCAGCTTCTCCAAGATCAGTTCCATCTCACCAGCAAAGACCGCAGCCGGCCCGCAACCCTCAGCAGAACCGCATCCAGACCGAGTCCCAGCTTGCACAGGGCAAGAGTCTGAGTGCTGATACCATGGCAATCCTTCATATTGGTCAGGCAGCCAGGAAATGGCCTGAATAGCAAAAAGAAAAAAATAGTATAGGTCTTCTGGACGGTTCTTCTCTAATGAAACGTTTCGTCTCTCCTCCAAGAGACTT